CGAAGAGAAGGGGCTTGCGCTCACTTCAAAGGTTTGCAGGTGAGCGCATCAATCAGACCGAAGGCAGAGCAGCCTGGAACTCGGATCGGGACGTTGAAGACGAGCATTCCAGAGAGCAACACATCTCAGCCCAGCCCGAGGTTCTTCACCCAGCACTGCGAGCGCCTCGCAGTGCGTCCATCCCGTTGGATGGACAGAATGTGGTGCCAGAGGTCCGTGCTTTAAATGACATAGACTCGATGCTGACCTAGCTTTGTCATTTCCCGTCTCTGCGGGTTGCATGCGTCAAGGTGGGTATCACGTTCTGCAGTATTGTCTGTGAGATACTGGTCGTGGTAGCCACAAGTCTTTTCAAGTTTCCTGCAAGTGTGGCAGCAAATCGCAACACTCCTGCAAGAGTGCTGAGAAAAGGTCTGGAAAGTCTTGGATGCCATGAAGGGATTCTCCGACAAGGCTCAGCACAAAGAGAGTGGTCGCGCAGGGTCTCAGAACCGACTTTGTCTCGCAGGTTCGCTCAGGAGAATGGAAAGGCTTCACTGGAAAAGCATTGACAGACGTGGTTTGTATTGGGTCGGAACCTCAGCCAGCACGGCGTAATCCTGCGCTTGGGATTTATCCTGTTATTTCCCGCTACTAATTTTGTGTACCTGAACGAGGGAAGATATCCGAAAGCTTCGTTATTTGTGGGGCTGCTTTTCAGATGATGGCCTCTTCAAAAAACAGCCCGAAAGTCTTTGTCAAAAGCGAGGAGAGCAAAGGGTTTCGTGGGGGTCGTGGAGTCGCCCCCACTTCCTGTTATTACAGTGTGTTGTCTGTTAGTATAGTATAATATATAATTATATAATGGTGTATTATATAGTATATTATACTGACAGCATGGCACCTCGGTTGGCCGTCCATCCGACAGAGACGGCCACGGAATGCCATAGTGGTAGCAGAGACGCACACCTCAAACAGCGGCTGGAGTGGTTCAAGATGCTGTACGAGGCAAAGTCGCAGGAAACAAAGGTGGTCCAGTTTACGGCTTCGGCCGTGGTGCGCGTGGAAGCTCAGCGCAAGTGTACAGCACAGACCGGGGAACCGTCGCATGAACTCGGGACGGATGCCCACGACCGGCAGTACCCTTGAATCAAAGAAAAACCTACTGGCAAATATGGGCACATCAACAGATTCAGGGCAGATTCCACACCTCTGACATTCTGTGGGACAGACGTGTTGCAGTGGTGCAGGATCGGGGGCTCTTACTTGGGCGTGGAGTTCGTCTACGAAGCTCTGAAAACAGATCCGGAGGCCCACGGCTGAGACGCAAAGCAGAACAATTCCGTTCCGTGCGAGGCAGCGGCAGCGGCTCAGGGTCGGAAGCTTCGCTTCCTGGCGAATGTCGACCCTATCGACGTCCAGCGTGTCATGGGCTGAGAGAGTCTAGAGTCGAGAGACATCTAGTCTAGAGTCTAGTGATCACGCGAGCCTAGGGCCGTTCAGGGTATCCTTTTGAGCTTGCCATGGAGGCCTTGGAAGGGCTCAATGCCGAGACGACCCTGGCCACTTTGTGAAGAAGAAGAAGAAGCGAAGTCAGAGAAGCTTCCCCTTTTCCCTTGCAAGGTCGTCATCATCTCGAAGACATTTACAACAGCTGAGACGATGCTGAATGCCAAAACAGTCAAGGCGCTGCAAGAGCAAAGATGACGTCTCGTCTAGTCTATTCTAGCTCTGCCTCAGGCATGGCTCGTAAAGGAGCTTGGTAGCGCAGATTGTGGACCCCCTATGCCCTATGCAAGTGCTGTGGAGCTGCTCTTGCCAACTGGATGTCAGCCGTCAGCCGGTTTTGTCTCTGAGGCGTCGCGAAACACGTCGTGGCATGCTCCACTGCTCTCGATAAGACCCAGGATGGCTGGGCTGCACTGGGCTGCACTGGGCCTTGGCAGCCTTTTTGCATGTTCCTGCTCGTGCAGAGGCCTTCGGCATTGACTCGAACAATGTCTTTGGCTTCTGGGACTGGGCATGTCACCCAGAGAGAAGCGCGCCTCTGTAGTCCGTGTCGCGTATAGGTTCGAGGACAGTAGTGCTCTGCATCGCGTTGGAGGTCGGCGGACGCTTCTCGGTTTGGAGCGCCGTGGGCGTCCTCGCCTTGTCGCTGCAGCCGGGCCCTCGACGATGGATGCCGGCAGACCACCATGCCGCTTCCTTGTTTTCGGAGTCTCATCTTTCAGTGGCTGCAAGCTGCAAGGATATCTAGTAGTGCATGGTGCCACGTGGCACTTCCGACCAGAGGCTTAAACAGTGGGTGCTTAAGATTTGAGGGGGCCAAACACAGTGACATACACACACACACATACATACGCACACCCACACACAGACACAGACAGAGCACGGTGCAACGGCACGGGCCAAGGTGCAGGAACAAATGCCATAAGATTGCCCGTGAACGTGGCTAGGTATGGATTCGGCATCGTCAACCAGTTCCTGGAAGGAGGGCATCGAGCTCGGTGGTGGGTTTGACTCCCACAACCTGCGGATGGAGTTTGATGTGCGGATCCTTGAAAGGCATGCCATGGATCAGCACTTCCAGAAGGCGTCGTGTCTAGTCTTCTTCTTTTGGCCCTTGTGCATAGCGGCCATGTCCGGTGCAGGCACCTGCCAAAGAAAACCTTCCACTTATCATTGGGCTACTGGACGCGCCGCCCTTGGCAGCCGAGGATGCAGGTAACCTGTCAGGCCTTACTCCACAAGCTCTCCCATCTTGGATGCGTAGACAGTTACAGTGCTCACCTTTCGTGATTACAGCATGTACCGATCATGCCAGCGACATCCAAAGGTCTGGAACTGCAGCATGATGGGGCACGAGGGCGTTGCTATTCTGCCGTACTGCCAGGCCTCTTTGTAATTGGACCGCAGATTCCAAAGTCCCCTATGCCCAACACCTAGCCATTGCCTTCAGACAAATTTGGTGGCAGGCCCTTGTGCGTTTCGTGCCTCACATCCAGCAGTTGGATATGGAAAGTCGCGCAGCGGCACAAGTGAGAACACGAATCAAGAGCGCCGCCAAAGGTTCGTGTTTGGTTTTCGAGTAGTAACTGTTTACTAAGGTAATGGTAAACGTGTGCAGATGGCACCGGCCTCGATGGCTGACGCTGCAGCTACTACCGCGGGAGAGTGTGATGCGCCTCAAGGACGGGAGCGAGGTGCCGGTCGGAACCGGTGCGATTAACTTCGGTGAGCCCGGCACCAACGGCCGAAGACCAAGACGAGAGTAGCTGAGTAGCTCTTGCTGGGGAAATTGGAGTGGCCAAGGCCAGCACTCGTTCTACCAGCTGATGCACCAGGGCCGAGTAATCCCATCTCACTTCATTGGATTTGCGGCATCACAAAACCCAGCTCGCTTCTCAGCTTTAGAGCCATCAAAGATTCTGCAGCCTGCCCGTGTCAAGGTTGAGCTGCCTGGCGAAGCCGTTTCCAATCACGACGAGCTAATGTCAAACTTCTTCGCCCAGCCAGGTTCGTGGGTTTCAAGCAATCGTTATCTCCGGATGATGCACCTGTGACAGATGCACTGGCTCTGGGGAAGACTGCCGAAGAGCTGAAGGAAAGCCGGCACAAAAGCACGTTCGAGTCCTTGCCTCGTGTCTTTCCAGGCAGACGGGATCCCCGAGAAGCTCATTGCGCACAAGACGTTCCCAGGGGACAGGCCGTCGCTGCTCTGGCCTTGGCATCTTCGTATCAGCAGGCGTTGCAGTTGCAGAAAAGGACATCCGTCATCGCAACACCGTGTCAGGTCCTTGCTGCTTCCGGTCTGCAATGCACATTGGTGTTTGACTGAGATCAGGACCGTTAGGAAAAGGGTGCAGACTAGTTAAGGCCGGATGTGTGCGGCATGGTAGCCCATCAGGCTGGGGCAGCTCTTGGCCCTCTACGAGCACCGCACTGCCGTGCAAGGAGCGATGTGTGCAGCATAGTCTGAGAGGCATTCGCATGAAGCCAGTGCAACGAGAGGCTGGTTGTGGGACATTAACTCGTTCGATCAGCGCTGGGCTTGGCCACTCAAAAATAGAAACAGCAGACTCGACACTGATCTCAAAGGTGGGGTGTCGAACTCGGCAAGGTCTTGGCCAAGGAGGTAGCCGGCTGTGCAACTACGCTTGTCCCCTTCTGCCTGCTAGCAAACAGGTACGCGGATATTTGAGCCAGGCGAGGAAAGGATCGGCGGATGATTCCAAGCGGGAGCCCAAGCATCCAATCCCAAGCGGTGCTGGTGTTGGCTGGCAGTCTGCAGGAATACGCAGAAGTCCTTCAGGTTTTTGACTCCAACAAAGAAGCTTCTGGCGAAGTACCTGGAATAGAAAGGCGAAGGATTTTGACCCGAACTAAGCTGCTAGATTCAAGGAGACTTGAGGAGACCTGCCATGTGAGGTGATGCAGAATCGTGCTCTGGACCTGGTCTTATTTTCAATTCTTGACTTCAAAGCTGACGATGCTGTTGACCCCCTGGGCCTTCCGCTAACTTGGTGAACCTCGCCGGTGAGTGACAGCGGAGCAGGCTACAATTTGTTTGTCTCTACAAGTCTAATGTGCAAGGTCACATGATGTACACAAGGCTCCGACATGCTCGTTTCCGAAAAAAGCAAAAGGCTCCAGGTCTTCACAACTTGCTGTCGTACCACTGTGATCCTGGACGTCGCTGTTGCTTTGTGTGCTCGGCGGATTGCGTCCTGGCCTGCAGCCATTAGCAGCCTTTTGAAGGCCTGGCGGGATCCACCCCTCAGAGGAAGTATGAAGCCACAGCACTGCCTGTGCCTTGCTACTGCCGTGGTGGCCTTCGCTACCGCGGCTGGGGCAGGACCAGCCAGCAGGCACAAGCCTCACATCTTGTTCCTTGGTGTTCTTCTGGTTGGCTCTTAGAACTTAAAATTTTTGGGTGTCTATACGAACTACAAGCAGGAGGCTAAAAGTTTAACTTTTAGGAGGGGCTCAGAAATCAGCCAAGGTTTATTCTTGCGGATGACATGGGGTGGGCCAACATAGGTTATCATCGGAACGGCTCACAGACGGCTGACGAGAAACAGGGCCAGCTGGAGGTCCACACTCCGGCCATAAACGCCTTGGCAGCCGAGGGTGTCGTCCTCGACCGCCACTACTCCTACAGAATCTGTGGTCCAGCCAGGTCTGCTCTACTATCAGGCCGCCTCGCCCCTCATGTTCTGGTGAAGAACGTGGCAGTGACGGCTCAGAATCCCGAAGACCCAGTGAGCGGTTTCGCTGGCATCCCCCGCAACATGACAGGCGTGGTTGTGAATCGTAGTCAATGAGGCAAAAAGCATTCCTTCGACACTGCCGGGGTTGATCAAGCATCGACTCCGGCAATTATTGGTTTCCCGCCCGTAGTCCAAGTTCCCATGCAAAAAAGCCGTCGTGTGTGCAAGACACGGCTGAGTCCCAAGGCTGTCTATGCAAACATCATCTTCAAAGAAAAACGCACCCATTCAGACAAGCACCCGTCGGGTGTGTGAATGCTGTTGCTCAAAACGACGCATTTCTTCGGAACGTCAGCAACAAGGCTGGGAAAATGCTCGGAAATTGAAAAAACTGAAATCCTTGTGTCAAGCTTCGTCCCATGTTCGTCCTGGAAATCCTGGAGCCGCTCTCGTTTCGCCCTGCCTTTATTCTGGTGCTTTGCGATACATGCATGTGTCTCGGACAGTAACAAGGCATTAAATCATGCACAAGCACATGGACAAGTACATGAACACACACACAATCACATACAAACGTACGTACGTACGTACATACATATATGTATATATATATATATACATACATATATATACCTATATTTAACTATATTTATTTTTCCATTTATTTATTTACGCAGCTAGAAATTGGCAGAAAGGCGCGCGATTTCAAGTATTTATGTATGCAACTAGAATTCCTTTTCCGAGGACAGTCGCATCGACGTTCTTAGCTAAAATCTGGTTCCCTGACGTCCGGTGTCCGAACGAAGCTCTTTCCGAGCCTTTGCATTTTTCCACGCCTTCAGGTATGGGAGCCAAGGTCAAAGCCGGTGGGTACAAGACCTTCTACACTGGGAAGTGGGACGCAGGGATGGCTACTCCGCAGCACACCCCTCGTGGTCGTGGATTCGACAGCAGTTTCCTTTATTACCAACATGCCAACGACTATTGGAACAAAAAGACTGGGATTGAGGCAACTGGTGAAATCACGCCATGCTTGAATGCATTCTACGACCTTGTGACTGAAAACGACACGTACCGTGGACCGTACAAGGAAGCAGACTTGACAGATGCGTGCAAGGATAGTGAGGAGCGTACACCATTCTGCTACGAGGAGAAGATGTTTGAGGAACGCTCTTTGCAGATAATCCGAGATCACAACGCATCCGACTTGGATCACCCACTCTTCCTATTTCATGCATTCCACCTGCTTCACACGCCTTTGCAGATCCCCAAGTACTACTACAGCAAGATTTCTGAGATCGTCTCCCAACAGGGTGGACAGATCATTGACTCAGAGAACAGACGGAAGCTGATGGCAATGACTATGTATCTGGATGACACGATCCAGAACCTTACGGATGCCCTGAAATCGAAAGGAATGTGGGACAACACCTTGTTGGTCTTCACCACCGACAATGGCGGACCAATTTATGAGCCAGGTTCCGCCAACAACTATCCTTTGAGAGGTGGGAAATACTCTGACTTCGAGGGGGGCGTCAGAACAAACACCTTCATCTCTGGCGGTTTCGTTCCCGAGTCCAGCCGGGGCCGCATTCACAACGGCATCGTCTCGATCGCAGATTGGTACACCATCTTTTCCGAACTTGCTGGTGTTGACGCCAAGGACGACGCCGCTGAAGCGGCCAATGTTTGGCTAAAGTCCCGTGGCCTCAGCACGCTGGCCCCGGTGGATGGCAAGAACGGCATGCTCGACGCTATTTTCCAAGGTGCTCCAGGTCCTCGTGCGAACGAGTCCTTGTTCATATCCGCAAATGCTTTACTGTCGTATCCCTACAAGCTCGTGACCGGCAAGCAGCCCTACATGGTCCACACCGGTCCGTTGTACCCGAACTGCAGCACTGTCGGTCGCTTTGTGTCAGGAGGCGGTCCGGATTTTGTTGATTTTGGCGTGCTGGAGTACAAAATCGATCTTGGAGACGAGTACTACTGGCGTGGAGATTGTGGGGACGGATGTTTGTACAACATTGAAGAGGACCCAAGTGAAAGCAATGACTTGTCACATGATCCGAAGTACCAGGCGCAACTGAAGCAGATGATCGATGCCCTCGCAGACTTCAACAAGACCTTGTTCTTGCCTGATCGTGGCGAGACCGATGTCGAGGCTTGTTACTCCATCATGCTGAAGGGTGGTGGGCACTTTGGACCCTTCGTGGACATAGCGTCATATTACTCTGATCCGCCCAGGTCGTTGGATAACCTGACCAAGCATGAGAAGCTGCAGATGACTGCCATGGGAATCACGGAGATTCCTCCAGTCAAGGAGCTCATCCAGGAGTATGTGCCAAAGCTCGCCCTCACGCAGCTCAGGAAAACTTCGGACAAGTGCTGCCCGGAGCCCGATTCTTGCACCCTAACAACAGAGCCAGACAGTCTGGACGAGACAGGACTTGTTCTTGACGCCAGCCACAAGCTGAGTGCTTTGGACAAGGCACCTAGAAAAGATCCCAGTGTGTACATTTAAGCGGTGCTGTTCCCCGGAAGTTCTGTGCTAGCACTGACCGGTTGGAAGCAAGACATTCTCAATACAAACTCTGGCACCTAGCGCGGCATCCAGGGAGCGACGCTTTAATGCAAGAGGTGTTGCCTGCTGTGACAATACCTCGATATTTCAATGCAGTGAATGCTTGGAAGCCCCAAGAAGATTGGTTGAGACAAAAAGGTTGCTACCAGTAGTGATGTTAGAGACTGTGCATGTCGAGTGACAGCCGCATCTTCTTTAGCAGCACTGTTTGCATCCCCAGGAGAGATCATCATGTTGCATGCTTTCAGCTCTTCTTCAAGTTTACATGCATCCAATCGACGCAAGCAGCAAGCTTCTCCCCTTGCACTGCACACAGCTACAACAATGTATGTCTAGCAGAAACCAGTCGGTCGTGCAGCTCTGCCAGGTAGTCTTGAAGGCATAGTGTTCGTTTAAGCAAGATTGTCTGGGATGACGTGAGCCAGGCTGTCATGTCCTTTGCGCGGGATGTCCGGAACACCACTCCTGTACGCAAGGGTCACCATGTAAAGCCTGCGTCGGCCGCAGAGCGGCCAGAGCAATCCATCAGCCGCTTATTGGATATCGTCACGGACCACGGTCTGCAGCTGAAGTCTCTGCGGCAGGAGCATGATGCACTCCAGCAAGAAACCAAGGCCTTGCGTTGTGCACTGTCCTCTGCCGGGCTATGGCATCAAGACAAAGGTGGTGAGCGCGAGCCCCAATCGAACTCAGCGGTCTCCAATCCCTCGGCCGATGACGTCCTGGCAAAGCTGGCGCAAAGCGGCGTTGCTCATGGCAAGAGACCGGCCTCTGGAGGATACCCGACCCGAACTGCAGCCAAGGCGGAGCCCACCGGCTCCAGCGTCTGCAGCACATCCGCCGGTAGCGAGGGTTCCGGCAACAGCTTCACGTCAAGCATCAGACGATCCAGCAGCAGCGGTAGCGTGGGTGCTGTGCGCAAGACGAAGAGCTGTCCCAAGGCACGAGCCAAAGAGAATGTCCCCAGAGATGCCGAGTCAGTGGGAGAGGAACGCGAGCGTGAGCCCAGGCGTGGGCCCAGGCGCGAGCCCGAGCGTGGTGCCACGGGCGTCGCTCCGAGTCCGAAGAGCACCGCACGGCAGAGGTCCCAGTCCGCCTCGGCCACGGCCGCGCCGAGCACGCCCCGCTCTGGGTCCACGCGGCGCGCCTCCAGTGGATCGCCTTTGCGCCGTTCGCGGCCCCGAGAACCACCCAGCCTGTACCAGGCAGCGGAGCCCTTGCTGTCCGCATCCGCATCGAAGGAGAAGCGGGCGCTGGCTTTGGGAGCCATCTCACGGGCTCTTAAGGATGGAGCTCCAGCAGACAAGTGGGATGGGCCGAAGACTCCTTTAAGGGCTGCAGTGCAGGCCCGGAGTGTGGAGATGGCACGGCTCTTGGTTGAGGCGAGGGCGAACCCGAATGAGACGGATGCCAAAGGCGTGTGTGTCCTCCACACAGCCTCCTTCGATGGCCTGGCTGACGTGTGCAGAACACTTCTGCAAGCTCGCGCAGATGCAAATGCAGCCGACCAACATGGACAAACCGCTCTTTTCTTCTCGCCGCTGCCTCAACCACTCCTTGGTGTCAGTGGGTTCAAAGTTCCGAGGATTTCAGTGCGGCAAGGCACATACTTCATAGTTAGTCATCGTTCGAGCGAGACGACCTCCGCGTAAGCCCAGGCCTTTGAGCTCGGTCTGTGATGTCCTGCTTGAGCACAAGGCGCGAAGTCTTGTGCAGCAAAGTAGTAGGCGTTTAATGGTCCAGATCAGGCACGCAGGCCGTACAGGAAATTCACAGCACGAGACGGTTCCTGCAATCTGCTGATGAGCTAGCTGTTTCTTCTTCGCAACAGGCCAATGTCAATGCCCTGAATCAGAAAGGGCAGCCGACGACCAAGCGTTCCAGCAAGCTGCGCAGATTCCATTTGCCTGCTGCCTGAGGTCAGCCTTGCATCTCGCCAGCCGGGCAGGCCTTACCGAGGTACCCTGCACGAAACGAGCAAGCAAGAAAGGCTGATAACTTCAAGATCTCCATGATACTGTGATGGGCTTAGGTCCTCGTGTGGATGGCGCCCCGGGTCAGCCGCGATGTCGTTGACATGCCGAAGCCCTGGTCTGGGCAAGTGTGTAGCCTCACGGCCTCACGTGCCCAACTTTCTCAATCCCACGAGATCTGGATGGTGCGGTAGGGCTCTTCCACCTCGAGTCTTCTCGTTTTCCATTCCCTGCAGCTGAATAGCTGGCCAAAATGTCATCGCCACTGTTCTGGCAGACATGTTTGCCCAGGCGAGACACGCACGGTGCCACCGCTGCCTACTACGCCAGACATGCGGGAATTCCCAGCGACTTTCTAGTCAAGCTGGGTGCCCAGTTCGAGAGTCTTGCTTGCTCCTGCAGAAGGGTGCGCCCCGTGATTGGACTCCTGACGGTGCTCTCAGGCATCGGCTTCTTGTGGTTGAGAGCACCCCAGCATCTTCAGCTGAACGGACGTGGCATCCTAAATGCCAGAATTTCACGCATGTCTTGGCAGCTCCGAGTGTGACGCCGCTGATGCAAGGCGTCGTCGGACATCCCGAGAGAGCGAGATGCAGGAGTCGTGGTTGCACAGAGCACCGAAGATTGCGCCCGTCTCGCGAGATCAGGAGACAGGAAGAGGTCGTGCACGCCAGAACTGGTCGGGACCATCGCGAGCTCCACTTCCGACGTTACTGGAGGAGCTGTACCAAGCCTCTCTGACTTGTGCAAAGCCGCCTTTCCAAGTTTGAGAAGGCTAAGGCATTTACCAGCATAGGAGAATTCCGTGTTCAAACATCAAGCAAATGATGAACACACGTGAGGAGAGGACCTGACTTCGAAGCTGTTAAATAGATTAAATTGCTGCTTCAGTGGGCACAATCGCTGCACACATCCACCCCTGCCCACCGATTTCCTCACGTCGCACTTGCTACAAGTACTAGTTACTAGGAGACCTTAAACAGGGACTCTTGAAGTCATGTACTCGTTTTGCCATGCTTGTCTTCTGTTTCTGTTTGTTGGTTTGTTCGCGAAAGTGTGCATGTGTGCGCGTGTGTGTGTGTGGGGTGGTTCAATGCATCGTTGGGGCATTCCTGCTGCGGCGGAACTGGGGCTGTGACTTCGTGAAAGCACCTCGAACCAAGTGCTCGATGAATATCAGTGCCGCAAGCAGAAGAAGGGTCATAGGATTTGAAGGCCGTGGCGTCAACTTGACCAAAGGTGGGAGAGTTCTGCGCGCCCACGGCCTCCGTGCGTACGGACCTGTGAGGACCAGCAGTGCTCGGAGGAGGAAGTCGCACCGGCAAGTTCCAAGGACTGCAAACTTGAAGTCACGGCTTGATGTCACAGCCCAATCAGTGTCCCGTCGCTCAGGAGGTCGTGTGTGCGGAGCAAGAGAAGCAGTCGGACAAGCCCGAAGACGAGGTCCATCTCGTTCGTATCAAACCTAGCGCAGCGGGTTGGGGCTTGCTGAACGGACCAACGGTAGAAAGCCTCCTGCCAACCTGTATTCGAAGCCCTTGCTTGGCGCTTTTGTTGTCAGGCGCTACGGACCTAGGGACATGGTTTGCTTTTTTCTGTCGCCTTTTCCTGTCGAGCACTTTTCGCGCTTCGTTTGGGGGTCGTGCAAGGAGGAACTGCCCTGCTCAACCGTGGTCACTCCGGTTGACACGCGAATGGCAGGCGACGAGGCCAACCAAGACTTGGTGGTAAGCTATCGACGAATGCCAGCAGACTGAAAGCAGGCGACCATGGACTTGACAAAGGACCTGCAGGTGCAGGATCGTCTTGAGAGCAAGGCCGGCGGAGTTGAAGGTGACAAAAAGCCTGTGTGTACCACGAAGTCCAGCATGCACAGCAAGAGCTCACCAATGTTTCCATTGCTAAAGTAGATCTGCTACGCTGAGTGAGCAAGGAGACTGGTGATGCGGCCGAGCATGGTGAGGATCACAGCGATTGTCTCGAACGGGCCTTAAAGGCTGAGCTCGATCCAGAAGAGGTATGTCAGGAGCACCAAGAGGAGACGAGCTTTCTGTGCGAGGAGACCACTGGTGACGAGAAGCCTGAGAAAGTTGCGGACTCTGAGGAGCGACTCCCCTGGTCTGAAGACCGTGGTTCGGAGAAATCGCTTGTGGCACCTCAGGCGGCAGGAGCAGAGGTGCCGTTAGATGTGCAAGGGTGCGATGAGAGTGGGAGTTCGCCACCCGTTGGAAGCTGTCAGCTACAGGCCGGGGGCACTCATGTTTTGGATTGTGCCAGCATGGATCCAACAGGCTTGTGCTGACGGTGAATGCGGTGATGGTTCAGAACATTCGCCTTCCTATTCTGCCTCGGAGAGAGGCGTGTTTGCTCGTGCTGTTGGCAATGAGTGGAAAGTTGTCTGAACCTGTCCAGATCGTGCAGACAAAATGGTGACGTGGGAAGAGGATTTCGGGCAGCCAGGCCGTGGCAACAACTGTCGGCCATACGAATGGCGGCTGGTTGTAGTTGACCCTGAATTCCACGTGTGCTTTATACAGGTTCTGCTTTGTCCCAGATGGCGCCCAACTGCGAGACGCACGAGCCTGCAGACGATCCTGCAGGCTTGCACTGAGTTTCTCTGCAAAATAAGATGAGCAAGCAGCATTTCAGTCGCGTGCACAACTACCCCGAGCCGAGCTTGATCAGTGCCCGCGAACATGTTTGCAGTTTGGCAGGCACAGGCCATGTGCCAGAGTTCGAGCCAGTGGCAGAGGCACAGGGGCTTCTTGGGACTTGAGACTTGGGCCGTGCGGGGTTTTGCACGTTCACTACTGTTCGTTGTGACACCGGTTTCTTATTTCGTGAGGCAGGATTCAGGAACGCTAAAGCCCCGGAGCCTCAGCCATAAGGCCATCTGGACTGCAAAGTCTGGAGGCCTAGATGCTGTGCTGTTGGAGGTGGACGGGGGTCTCTTTTTCTTCTAAGCGTGGCTGTGGGGCAGCATACCAACCTAGGACCCTCCTTATGCTTGCGGCGGGAGGGCGAATTCTCAATGTTATCAGCGAAACGGTTTATCGATCTGGCGGTCTTGATGGTGGTGTCAGTTTCTCGCACGGTTCCCCGGTCAGCCGCCCATGCCGGAAGAGGAGCCCAACTGCATGGATATAGAACATCGGAGTCGCTTTCATAAGCGTTTCATGGGTCAGGCTTCACCATCCTCATGTCTGAGAGATCTCAGCCGTTTGCGGAGCTCTTGTGTTCCCTCATTTCCTTGTGTGGGGGGCCTGGGTCCAAACTCCCGCAAGACAAACGACGCAGAGGGTGTGGGCTGATGCCGGGGATGGAACCCAATCCCGGGATATTTTCTGGAGAGTCGAAGGATTCTGGCAATCTTGGCGCTATTTTTCGTCTGCCGTCACATGTACAGGTAGCAGGAGATGAGGCTGCGGCGAGCAGTGTCGAATCTCGTCAGCAAGTGCGGGTTCAACACGAACGCCCTTAAGAACCATGTGCATGTGTGTTCTTACGCAGCATGAACACCTTGTTGCAATTCGGCAGTGAAGCTGACGATCAGTTCCCAGGCTTCGGACACATCCGAGTCCTTTATGGATGCAAGCTCGCCCTGCAAACCCAGAGATGCTGCTTAGCTGCGATTTTGGCAGACTTGGGGATAGCAGCATGCCCATGGATCAGTTTCAGACACTGAGCGCTCTGCGAGGGACGGAGCTCCAGGCGAGAGCGCCGAGTTTCGATGAATCAGGCCATCAAGCATCATCATCAAGCAACCTGATCCATTCCATGAGAACAGCCTTGGCTTTGGTTACTTTTGTTGGCTTCTTGGCAGGCCTTCTTGTGGCAATTTGCAGAGCGGGAGCGCTGAAGATTCTCCCTGGTAAATGCTGAGCAGTCGTACTCTTGTCGCTGCTGATTTGTGGAGATGCTTCGCAAGCAAACGCTTGGCCACCTCTAAAGTTCGGGTCGCTGTGCGCTAAAGACACATTGGCGCAACATGTCGGAAATCACAGCGAGAGAGTGCAGACAGGGGCGACGCTGAAGAGCAGCCTCGCCGTGCTTCGAGGGCTCCAAAGCGGAGTCCGGAGCTGTTAGCGAGCTTCTGCCAGATCAATCATCTGGCACTTGTAATCAATGCACACCTTTATGTTTACCGGTGTGCTGATGTGATAATGACCTGCAGTCTAGTTCAGTTCACTTGGTGCCTGGAAGGTTTCGGCGACTCTAACGTAACCTCAGGCACGTGCGGGCATTGTCGACCTTCGGCCTAAGTGTACTAGACATCGGCTTGCTGCCGCGGCGCGCTTGTCGGTACTCCTTGCTCTGTGCGGTGAAACAGTCGACTGCCAAAGAAAATCACCAAGGTGCTGGGCCGGGTAGTGGAGAGGGTTTCGGCATGCTGCAGCAATGAGTGGTTCCTCCCCATCCTCCAGTACTTGCCAAAGTGATAAGACATGTGGCGCACAAACTACATTGCCTCTCAGCTGCAATGCAAGCGCCTAGAAATTTATGCTCGTGGACTTGCTCTCCCCAATGATGCGCTCTTCCCACATGTTTCTCTGCGATCCTCAGGCCACATCCGGCTTTCGGGACGTGTCTTCAGCAGTTGGAAGAGGTGTTTCACTGGGAGTTGGACCGTTTCAGAGGCGCAACTTTGAGCGTGCTACGGGAAGATCATTGTGACATTGCCGAATGGCAAGCAGCATCGAGGTTTTGCAGCGCGGAGCCAGCCGTGTGTTCTGCTGCCTGGCCACCTTAATGCGGGAGAGTCAGGCAGCCTGTGGTGTAAGCAGCATCAGCCAAGGCGTGGTGTTGCTGCTGACTGGCCCATGGTAGTCCAGGGGCGGTTCCAGGACAATGTGCAACTGCTTCGACGATGTCTGGGGAACAGAAGGCTGGTCTGTGTAAGCGAAAACCTGGGGCAGAGTGAAGCATCTGTTAGAGAGAAGCGTTTGAATCAGAGCCGATCAGGTGCCTAGCCTTTTGGATGACATTAATGCTGGCAGCACCCGACATGTCTTTTTCCTGCAATGACAGCTCTGGCCCTAGCACTTCCTCTTAGGTCAGTTTTGATCCGACCGCATCCTTTTTCAACTACGAGATTCCCAGAAGCTTCCAGACGAAGCCCCGCTCCGTCCGCGAGCCTTCGGGAGCTGATGCGCCCAGGCCTGGGCGTCCAATCTTTTGAGAGATTTCCTGCTTTTTGTTTGCGGCACTTTGCACAGATTAATCAACCCGGGGCGATTGGAGATGATGTTCGGGGACTTCCTGACCGCTGCGGAGCTGAAGCATGGAGTGGTCGCGCCAACCGAGACGGCGGCTCGCGCTGCGACTTGGCAAGCAGATCACATCGACATAGTAAGTGACGAGTGTCCGCAGCTGCTGGCACGAAGACGAGGTGAGCATGCCTTACGATGCTGACGATGCGGGTACGGGCCGTAACTTGAAGGTGCACGTAGAGCGGAATCAGAACCCGGGCACTGTAGGATTCTTGAGAAGCATGGCTTCAGACGAGCTTGGTACTGAGAAGATGATGTCGCAGATTGCGCTTGGAGGTTGATGACATAGCTCTAACGACGAGAGCATGGATTCTATGGTCGTATTCGAGCATGTATGGTCTGTTTCCCGTGGTCACCTCGCAAGCGTTTCGCGCAAGGAAAAGGTGTGGAGGAACCGTCGGTGCACAGGGAAGCATGAACACCGAAGAAACCCTAGCAGACACAGGCAATGATCAAGGGACGCCGCGAGCACAACTTTGCTTTCCGCACGTTTCTGCGTCATAAGCCTTGTCACAGGCTTCGCAGGACGTACTCTACGTGCCATTGAGAGAGCTGCAGCAACTGTCGCTGTACTGCGTGGATGATGCAGCTGACTGGCCGGACGATTTGTTGCAGGACCGCGGCACAGTCCAGGTTGTAGGACATGGTAGTGCAAGGAGTTTGTTGTGTTCCGACAGGAGTTCGTTCCCGGCGATCTGACAACTAAGCTCGACATGCCTGAATGGCAGCCGTTTCTGCGAGAGCGTCGTTTGTGGATGTGCGCAGGAGGCCCAGAGGCTGGAAGATGCAAAGTGATTTCCTCTCCCGATCTGAGGTAACCATGCACTGCTTTGCAGCCTGCATAGATTGAAATAACAAGAATCACAACGAGAGCCGTATTGCATCTTACCCTCCAGGGCACTCGGCACCTCACAGCGGGCTTCCACTGGGATCACTTGCAGAACCTCCATGCCGTCATCAGCGGCAAGAAGGAGGTCCGAACATGCAGTTTTGATGCAATGTCTTGCGTGTTGAAAGAAACGTAGAAAGGTCTGGGAAGTCGTGCGCAGGTATTTCTCGTAGCTCCTCTGCAAGCTCCAGCCTTGCATCTTGGACTCCGACACAATCTGTTGAGGCATTTCGTCGTCTGTCTGTGTATACACGTTCTGATCACCACATCAAACATGTGCATGCATGCAGCCTTGCCGAGCAACGTCAGTGGTGATCTCTTTACCTTCGCGTGCAGCTTGGATCTTCGGTTGGCGGAACTTAGCAGCAGAATCCTGTGAGTTTCTGAGAACAGAAAGCTGTAGCTGGACCGATGTAGAAGGATAAGGATCATTGTAAATAGTCATCGCTTGAGGATGCCTGGACAGGATTCCTAGCTCTGCCCCAGCTCTCATCCTCACATCATCTCCGAAGACCTCATCCAACCGAAGATCCAAGCTGCAAGCGAAATTAAAGAGATCACTGATGTTGCTCGGCAAGGCCGCATGCATGCACGTGTTTGATGCGGTGATCAGAACATACATACACAGACAGACGACGAAACGCCTCAACAGATTACAAAGTGCACGAATGCACGAGAAAGATGTGTTCGCACTGTGCATGCAAGCAAGCATATATGATGCATAAGATGTGTGTACGATGAACGCATGTATTTCTGTATGTCCGTATGTCCGTCCGTCTGTCTGTCTGTCTGTCTGTCTGTCTGTCTGTCTGTCTGTCTCTCTGTATGTCTGTATGTATCTATGCATATAAGTATATGTATATACATGTATGTATGTATACACATACACCTATATCTGTATGTACAAGTATATGTATAGGTATAGGCATGTGCAACATTTATGTCTAGATGTAGGTCTGTATGTGCGTACGTACTAGGCACTAGTATGCATGCATGTATGTGTGTGTATGTATGTATGTATGACTGTATGTATGTATGTATGTATGTATGTATGTCTGTATGTATGTTCGTCTGTCTGCCTGTCACTGTCTGTCTAACTGCACGCATGCCGTTATGCACAGCACAAGCATTGCCCCTTATTTCGCATCCATGAGTCAGGTATGGAACGCGATTCTCCAGACAAGCCCAGTGGAACATGTCGACCTCGGAACATGGAAGGAGCACCAATTTCCGCCTTCGCCGCACTCCGTTGATTTTGCCGTTCTTGTTGACGCTTCTTGCATCTGCATTCGAAGTCATTTCTGATCTCTTCAGTCCCTGCTTTCTTGTCAGGAGTTGCTGAGGTAATTGCTGTCAGCTGTGATGATGGCTCTTCTCTTCTTTCCCTGCCTGCTTCTACTCCCCATTCGGGGTTCATTCACTGGGGGTCAGAGGATCCCTTCGGACCTGATAGGAACAAGTAACATCATTTACACTATCTCGGAGACAACCTCGAAGCTGTCCCTTGCATAAAGGCGTCTGCAGTCTGCAGCTTGTTTGGGGAGCAGTACGGGGACTGCCCGCCACCGGTACAAATCTTTTTGCTACCCCCCCCTCATGTACCCACG